ATTGTGACATCATTGATCCCATTGTGACCCCATTGGCCACATTGTGACCTCATTGTGACCTCATTGACCCCATTATAACATCATTGACACCTTTGTGACCTCATTGACCCCATTGTGATGTCATTGAACCCATTGTGATGTCATTGAACCCATTGTGACCCTACTGTGACATCATTGACCCCATTGTGACATCATTGACTCCATTGTGACCTTGTTGATGCAATTGTGATGTCATTGACCCCATTGTGACCTCATTGAACCCATTGAGACATCATTGAATCAATTGTGACGTCATAGGCACCATTGTAACATCATTGACCCAAATGTGAGCTCATTGACCCAATTGTGACCCCATTGTGACATCATTGACACCATTGTGACCTCATGTACACCATTCTAACCTCGTTGCCAACCATTGTGATATCACTGACCCCATAGTGGTATCACTGACCCCATTGTGACATCATTGACCGCATTGTGACCCCATTGTGACATAGTTAATCTCATTGTGACATTATTGACCCCATTGTGACATCATGGAACCCATTGTGAACTCATTGACCCCATTATGGCATCATTGACCCCATTGTGACATCATGGACCCCATTGTGAACTCATTGACCTCACTGTGGCGTCACTGACCCCATGATGACATCTTTGACCCCATTGTGACCTCTTTGATCCCACTGTGACATCATTGACCCCAATGTGACCTCTTTTCCGCCATTGTGATATCATTGACCGCGGTATGGCATCATCGACCGCATTGTGACCTCATTGACCCCATTGTGACATCATTGTGAGCTCATTGATCCTATTGTGACATCACTGACCCCATGAGGACATCTTTGACCCCATTGTGACCTCTTTGATCCCACTGTAACATCATTGACCCCATAGTGACATCACTGACCTCATTGTGACCTCTTTGCCGCCACTGCGATATCATTGACTGCGGTATGGCATCATCGACCGCATTGTGACCTCATTGACCCCTTTGTGATGTCATTGAACTCATTGTGGACCCATTGGGACATCATTAATCTCATTGTGAAATCATTGAGTCCATTGTGACATCATGGACCCCATTCTGACCTCATTGACACATTTGTGGCCCCATTGACCCAATTGTGATATCTTTGACGCCATTGTGACCCCATTGTGACATCATTAATCACATTCTGACAACATTGACCCCATTGTGATATCATGGACCCCATTGTGACATCATGGAACCCATTGTCACCTCATTGACGATGTTACGACATCATTGACCCCATTGCGACCCCATTGACCCAGTTGTGATGTCATTGTGACCTCATTGATCCCATTGTGACCTCATTGACCCCCATTCTGTTCCCCAGGACTTAGTGCCTGGGCTCTCCTTCGCAGATGGGTCATGTTAGCACCGAGCTGAGTACACAGGAGAGGCTGGGAGTGCAGCAGCTAGCACAGAAAGCGCCAGGCTGATGGCATGCTGCTCTGCCTGCAGGGCCCTCGCTCCTGCTGGGCACCAGCCCAGGGTACTTTTGGGACACCAGCTCTGAGCTCCTGTGCTTGCCCTGCCCTCGCTGCAGCTCCCTGGAGCTGAGCCCAGCTTGCCCTAGGTTGCAGCTGAGCAGGTGCTCAAGGCGCAGAGGCGGGGCTGTGCCCTTGGCCACTCCTGGGATCTTCCTTTTGGGACGAGCAGCAACTTTGTCTGAGGATTCCCAACGATCCTTTTTCTCTCTCCCAGCCTCCTGCTGGGCTCGCTCAGCTGATGGGGAGCCCATGGGCCTGGAGCCAGAGGGTTGGGTGCCCCACGGGGGTGCAGGGGTCTCTGGGAGTGCCAAGACACCTCGATGCAGCAGGAGTCCTGCAAGGGAGGAGCAGCGCTTGGTGGGGGCTGAGGAGCAGTCATGTCCCAGGCAGAAGAGGTGCACGTTGAAAACGGGTGAGGGCAGAGGACTGTGAAGAGCTGAGGCTGGGTGACCAAGGGTGGTGAGGCCACGATGTTCTCCAGGGGTAGTGTATGGGCTCCTGACATTTCAGGCAGGTCTCAGTGCATAAAGGAAGAGTTTCCATGGGACTTGGCTGAGTGGCCACTCCTCCACTGCAGCAGCTGATAGAGGTGGGTTACAAACTGCTTGTCCCAGTACATGAGCGATTTTGGGTTAGGGTTAGCATTAGGCTTAGGGGTTAAGCTTAGGGTTAGTGTTAGAGTTAAGGTTAGAGGGTTTAGAGTTAGGTTTAGGCTTAGGGTTTGGGTTAGGGGGTCGGGCTATCGTTAGGGGTAGCCTTATCTTAGGTGCAATGTTTAGTGTTCGGGTTAAGGGCAGGGATTGGGTTAGTGTTAGGTTTAGACATAGGGGTTAGGGTTATGTTTAGTGTTCTGGTTAGGATTAAGTTTAGGAGTTAGGGATAGGTTTAGGGGTTTCGGTTAAGGTTAGATTTAGGGATTATGTTTTCATTTAGGTTGAGTTTTAGGGTTAGGTGTAGAGTTTGGTTTGGGATTACAGGTTTGGGTTAGGTTTAGCGGTGAGGTTTAAAAGTTTGGCTGCCGTATAGTACCCAGTTTTCACCCCCATGGTGGCACTTGGTGATGGGGCAGCCAACCTGGCCCTGGCTGTTCACTGTCATCTGTCTTTGAAAACTTGTTCTTTTTGTCCATAAATCACCAAATGGTTTTGGTGGTGATAGGGATGTTGGCTTGAGACAAATGGGAATGTCAGACCATCACCCCTCGTCCTATCACAACAGGCCCTGCTGGAAAGTCTCTTTCTATCTTTCTTACAGGCCCACTTTAAGAACGGAAAGGCTGCAATAACTATTCTAGGATTAATAAGGTCTCCCTGGAGTCTTCTTCAGGCTGAACAACCCCAACTCTCTCAGCCTTTCCTCACAAGAGAGGTTTTCCTGCCCTCTGATCATTTCTGTGGCTCTAGTGCTCTTCAATTTACTTAGTACCTAATCAATGGCAGAAGTACTGCCCATCTGCAAGGTCAATGGGGCAAGCCTGGGCTGCGCAGAATCAGTGCTCACCGTGCACCTGGCCAGCACAGCCCTTTCACAGGAGCAGGCCCAGCACCCACTCTACCATTGGTTTTGAGGGTACATCACTGCAGCTGCCTCTCTCTTATTTCCTGTTTCTTATTTCTTTTTAGTTATAGGAAATACCCAGAGTAGGAAAAACCACTTTGTTCATCATTTGCATTGCTCTGCAGCTGCACACAGGGGAAGCTCTCCTGCTCATGGGTGCTGTGCCAAGAAGCCGCCTGGAGCAACCTGTTGTTTGTCCCCTGCTGCAGCAGAATTTGCTGTGAAAACAAGATAAAAAGGCTGTGAAATCCCTCCAACAACCACAGCAGCTCCCGCTGCCGGCCGCTGACACTCAGCACCATCCTGCCCCATCAGGCACCCATCCTGAAGGAAGCCTGTCAATAAAAAACCCTGCAGGTCCTCTCTTTTTCTCATTCCCCAGGTATTTTTGTTGTCCCCAGTTTTTCTAAGGCTTGTCCCAGCTGGAATCAACATCCTTGCCAGCAGCCGGGGCACTGCCATGACCCAGGAGCTCCAGGGCTGTTGTTCCCCTTTCAACTCTGATTAAAAATGAATAAATAAAATCAATCCTTTTCCGTGTCTGGATTCAGAGAAGGCAACGCCTCTCTTGGAGGAATGCAAGGGAACAAAAGCAAACCAAGTGTAAAATAAAACAGCAACCCAGGGTTTCTGCAGCTTCTCAGCAAGGCAGGGCACTGGGAGGGGGTTCCTCTCCCAGGTGGCAGAGGGTCCTGGGATTCTTTCATCCGTGTCCTTTGTTTAAAGCCAAATTAAAGAGGAAAATGAAGCGAGTGGGGCTTTTCGCCACCTTGTGCTGCCTATTATTCATGAGCCCCAGGCCAGCCAGGCTGGGCTGGTACCACCACCACCAGCAGCTCCATTTCCCATTACAAGCTAATTGTCCTTTTACTCATTAACTCTGATAGGACTTGCTAATTTTCCTTGATATTTTTCTGCCCCTCAATCTTTCTCAAGAAGTGCTCCTCAGCACAGGACACTGGGTGCTGCCCGTGTTCACAGCATCAGAGCAGCAGTTAATGCTGCCCAGACTCAACCCTTTAGTTTAGGGGCAGCTTCCAAACATCTGGTCTGGTCTCACACATCAAGTTCTTCTCCAGCAGCCCCGGCCTGCTCAGGGCTCCCAGGTCCTGCCAGCTCCAGGAAGAAAATGCAATTCTGGGCTTAGTTTTGTAAAGTCACCCAGGGCAAGAATGGCCCAGCCTGCTAAAGCCCAAACAGGGGATGGGTTTATGATGATTTATCTTAAAATAACCACATAGGAGCTGCTGAAGCCGGGTTTTCAGCCCAGTGGTCCCAGCCCTCTTCCCAAAGCAAACATTACAGCACTGAGAAACAGAAGACTCTAAGGTCTCCCCTTCAGGAGCCTTCTCTTCTCCAGGCTGCCCCAGCCCAGCTCTCTCAGCCTGTCTTCAGAGCAGAGCTGCTCCAGCCCTCGCAGCAGCTCCGTGGCCTCCTCCGGCCTCGCTCCAACATTTTCATTTCCTAATGGAGCTTCCCCTGTACGTGGCCTAGTAGAAGGTGTCGCTACCCATGGCAGGGGGTTGGAACTGGATGTCCTGGTATTGGCTGGAATAGAGTTACTTCCTATTTCACATTATTCTGCATATGCTCATTAGCACCTTTCCTCTTCACAGAGATCTTCACCAGTTTAAGATTTCCTTACGCACAAGTCTGATCCTAGCCCCTGAGACACATCTTGGAACCCCTCCCAGCATTTTTTGGCATCACAGATCAATAATTCAGGAAAGACTGACTCCAGGGATCAGTAGGCAAGCAGTGAGAATGCTGAAAACCTGGAGTTGCTTTGCAAGGTTTACAGGGATTAGTAATTTGTAGTGTGGGTGCTGGTGATTAGGCAAGTCGTCCGGTACCTGAATGATGGAAGGGCATAAGGACCCTGTGTAGAGGCACATTTGTGTGCTCCAATGGGGCTGGGGCATGACATGCTCATGCAAAAATATTTGTTCTTGTAATTCTACCCTTTGCATCCTAGCCTCTTGCCTTGGTCTTCATGGGTCAGCTTGATTTTTTTGTGACACAGGCTTGGGGCTCACCTGTGGGCTGGGGCTTTTGCTGGCTGACGCCAAGGCAGCGTTGGATGAGGCCATAGAAGGGTGGAGAAAGCTGGGCAGCCACTGCAGCGCCAGCTCTGGAAAATCGCTGTGTGAGCCCCAGCCAGCAATTCCCACTCACCAGCCAGGTGTGAGATGAGTTTCCCATGCTCAGCCAGTCTCAGCCTAGCGCCTGGGGCAGCCATGGTTCCTTCCCAGGGCTGGATCCAGCCTGCTGCAGTGATGCTGGTCCTGGGGCAGCGATGGAGGTCTCTATCCTCCTGGCATTGATACTAATCAATGTGGTTTCTCCCATGGCTTCACAGCACCCAGAGCAATGCCCCAACTACCCATCCTCTCGGTGGCCATCCCCATCCCAGCTCAGCCGCCTGCAGGGTGCCAGGGGCTGCATTAAGCCCCTACCCACTTCCCACTGTGCAAATGACTGCAGGCAGAGAGAGGTGCTGTGAAGAGAACACCCAGACCTTTTAATGAATGGAACAAGAAACAGGGATGGGGAGAGGGCTGGGGGAGGTCCTTGACCATCAGTGGTGTCTTCTTTGTTGGGGGGACCTTGACCTTGAACACTGACGACCATGTGACCTTCTCCTGGAATAGTCACGACTCTTCCTTCTGCTTCTTCTTGGATACTGCAGTGATGGCAAGTTGGAATGTGAATGGGAACAACTGCATGAGCCGGAGTAGCAGCCAGTGCAGGAAGGACCTGATCTTGACTTGGAGTAGGTATGCGAACTCCTAAAGTAAAATGAAGTACGACAGTGAGGCTTGGATCTTAAAAACACCCACAACACAAACACACACACACACACACACACACACACACACACACACACACAAATGGAAGTTAATTCAAAACAGTCATTCTTGCTAATTTTTTTCCTCCCAAACTTGGTTTGGGTTTTCTTCTCTTTTAGCTGCTAACTTAATGCTACTGCAAACTGAAGAGCTAAACATAGCCTCCAGTAGTATTACTCAAGCCATTATGTAGGTTTCAGTTATAGGTTTAAACTAACAGTAAAGTGTATGACTTTAAACTAACACAGTAAAATACAGCAAACTGTTCTTACTGACACGCAGGGAATAAGGAATGTCCAGCTGATGGGGGAAGGAACGTCAAGGGAATGATAACAACTAAGGAGGCAGTAAGTAAGACCAAGGATGCAGACCTTCAGGATAACAGAGACCGGAACGCAAAGAAAGCAAAGCCATACCTCTGCTAACTCAGCACTAGGACCTTGCGAGCATGCGCAAGCAAAAATGTCACTCAGTAAACACAGTCAGGCAGACTGTGGGCGACCATCAGAGACCCCCACTCCGCAAGAAAGCGCATGTGTAATTGAGATGCAGATATTATAATTAGCTCCTGGGAATCTCGTGAATATGGAAATGCCCTCCTGGAAAGACTGTAAATATGCATGAGTATGCTGAATACAGAGCTGCTGCCGGCAAGGAACGGGCACGCTCACCTTTGTGGAACTGTTTGCGTGTGCGCCCAGCGCTGCAATAAAGAAAGCTGCTTTCTGAAACTCCACATTGAGCCTTAAGAGAGTTTCTCCAATGGACTTCTGCGGACAAAACTCTGGTGCCCGAACATGGCCCCTCTCCCGTGCTTCCTGCTGACCTGGGGACCCTCTGGGGCCTTCACGCCAGTGTTGGGGATTTCCCTGAAAGGAGCCACAGATCCCCGGACCAACTCGGGACCTCGGCCAGAGCCTGACTTTATTGCTTTAGCAAGGCGTTCTTTTCGGTAACTTGTCCCCGTGAGTCACAGGGGATGCCCTGTGCAGCGGGTAAGGATTTGTTTGGCTGTCTGGATGTTGCACTTGGATGGAGGTCAGGAACACTGCCTCCAAAGGGAGGATTTTGAAGGAATCTCCATTGGGTTGCATTTTGCAGCATTGAAAACAAATTGGTGGATCCCCAGGTGGGCTCAGTCACTCAGGAGACTTCGATAGTGTTGTAATCAATGGTGGCCATTGTATAGGATGGAGTCTGGGGCGAAGTGGCCCGTGAACAGTACAATTCATTATAATTGGTTGGTTTGCCAAAGTGGGATGGAGGTGAAGTGGGATGAGTTATGGTATATTGATTTATTCTTTGATTGGCACAGTATTTCGGACTTGTGAAAGGGGTGTGTGCATATGTCTACAGATCCCATGGTATTAGCACTGGAGGAGGATAATAACAAACCGCTCAAGAGTCGATGTTCTGCGTGTAGTATTGGTAAGTGGTGTGTTAGATGTAGGTAGGAAAAAGAGAATGTGGAATTATTACTTGGACCACAAATTAAAAGAAGGAAGGAGCCAGGGTGGGGGGGGGAGTGGGGTGGGCAGGTTTGGATGCAGATGGGAAGAGAGCTCTAGCTCCATCATGAGGTGAACAAAGAAAGGTGCTCTCCGAGGTATACAAGCTCCTTACGCCAAGGAACAGGGGTGGAGGGACTGGTGACTAGCAAGGTGTCGTTTTCTGTGTCAGATTTATGAGCCTGGAAAGAGTTAGCCGGGCCCTATAGGGAAGGTCCTGAAAAAGTAACTAAAGTGATGAAGCCGATTATGAGAACACAAGATCCAGACTGGAATGATTTACAAGTAGGATTGGATACTTTGGTAACGTATGATGATAAAGTAGAGTGCTGGCAAAAGCAAGGGAGGAGGCAGAAAAGATCCATACGCAGGGGGCACAGGGCAGTGTCAGTGGACGACCACTTTCCCTCCACAGACCCTACATGGGATCCAAATGTTCTGCCTGAGCAGGGATCTATTAACCAAATATCAGCGGTTGGTTTTGTTTGGAATGAAACATAAGTATAGAGGTAAGGACCCTGAAAAAGGTGCAGCACAGTTATCTTACCTTTTTTATTGGTCAATCAGACCCAGGTATTAAATGCAAGCTGCAAAAACTGGGAGGGACAGACTCTCGGTCACTCAATAAATCACTGGAAACAGCCTGGAGCGTATACAGTAACAGAGGAGTTGAAAGGGAGATGGAAATCATAGGGAGGAAACAAATGTTGTTGGCTGTTGCTCTCACCCAGGAAAGCAGGAAAGGGGGGAGCGGCCTGGGAGGAAGGGGTCAGAAAGAAGGATTACATGGAAAGGCTTGTGAACAGACTGCATGCGTTGCACTTGGAGAATGATGAGAGTGCAGTCCGTAAACAGAGGGAGCACTGGAAGACAGAATGCCCTCAGAGTGAAAATAAACACCGGAGATTTAGTGGAATGAGAGGGCCTGCCCTGACATACTTTAGATGAAGATTGAGGAGGAGCAGGGGAAGATTCAAAACCCTCCCCAGCAGAGCCCCTGGCTACAGTTAGGTTGGGGAATGATAAAGGAAAATTTCTTGTAGAAACAGAAGCTACTTTTTCTGTTCTAAATTCTTGTAAAGTGCAACTTATCTATATAGAAGCTTCTATACAGAAAAGCTATCTGTAACAAATCTATACCAAAACGAAGGACTAACGTGACGCAGAAACAGGCTGTTCTCTCTCCAACTGAGAGAAAGCAGCTTGGCCGTTTGAGATGACTAAGTGGAAACAATTCAGAATTGTCATAAAACGACAGCACTGATTTTTCCAAGAACTGCCTCAATCAGTATCAACTACGTTGTTAGAACAAGAATGTTGGACGCTGATTTCTACTGAAAACCCCATTTCTTCAGCCCTACTCAGCCAGTAATCCAAAGCTTTCCATCTGATTCTTTCATTGTATGTAATTTTTATATGTACTAATGGTTGTCTCAAAAAGCATCCTTCTTTCAGTCTTCTTTTTAATCATGTACCAGAGTTTTAGTTGAAATAATCTTGCTGCAAGCACGCATCCCCTTTCTTATAGGCAATTCAGACTGAGCCATTTAAAAATCAGTTACCAGTTGTATTCCCCGCAGCTCTCTGTGCACACTTATTTGATTATCGATCAGCTGTTGTCTAAGTCATACGTTACAGCCTAGGTTACCAGTAGTTACATATTGAATTTCTATAGCACACTTACAGTTCACAGCTTGTTCTGGCACCTGGTGCGTGGATGGCACTGTCTGCCCTCGGAGGACCTTTTGGAGAGGGGAGAAGAAAAAGAAAAAAGGCCCGTTCAGCTTATATGAAGGTAATTTTTTAACACAAGTTCTAAAGCTATCATTACTTACCAGCTGTGGGTACCGATTGCCCTTGGGAGCCCAGAAGACTTGGTAGCACTAGCTGTCTTCGTACAGGAACTTGAGAGCTCTTGTGAATAAACGCAAACAGCTGCAAATTAAGCTCTACTGAAATCCTGGAGTCACCGCATATGTGGAAATAAAGCTTACCTTCTCTTCCAACAAGCTGCGGATTGACAGAGAGGAAGATGGAGGCAGTTCAGCGGCAGTCACCAAAGCAGCAGGAGGGATAACAGTCGTGAGTGGTGCTGCAGGTGGTGGCGGCTGCTGCTGCTGCTGAATCTGCTTACGGAGCCTTTTTGTGTAGCCAGCTCCATTTCTGAAGTTGTTCACAGCCTAGAGGCAGAGGAACATTTTATAAAGGTAATCTGAAACTTCAGCAGATACACCAACAAAACCTCCGCGGAGTAAAATTACTCGTGTATTCCTGGAAATGCTATCAATCCTAACAGCATTCGACCACAGCTATCTAAACACCACCACATTCAACACTGATGTCAGTGAGGGCTAACTCAGGGTATCTGTATTTAAAATACTACAGTGTTAACACCAAATTTGAAAGTGAGGTGATGGTGTTAAACAGAAGCGTGACCTGAATTTGTCAGATTGTCTCTAAAGAGCTGTCAGAGATAATGTGTTTGAAAAGTAAACTTAGCCTTATTCAACTTAGCCTTGCTTAAGGCTAAATTAATGCTACAGTAATATTGTCTTCTCTCTCAGCTCCTTACAAGCTCTTTGTACAACTGATGTAAAACTCATCACACTACCTGGCGTAGGCTCTGGTTGGCAAATAAAGCATCAGGAGGAACATCTGTCTGATGACACGCTGGGCATGTATATTCCTCAGACTCCAGCAATGCCGTTCTAATACCTGTGCATAATTAGTATAATCACAATACAATAGTTTTTAGCCAAAGTAAGGAAAGTTGTTGGGTTCTAACCAAAACACGTGTATGATTCATTGGTGAATGTGGTCTTGAGTGTACAGCATGAAGCTACAAATATTCAAGAGTGTAAAAAATTACTAGTATGCAGCAAATAGTTCCACAGTTTTGACATTTCACTGTTGTAGTATTTGAAGATGGACTGTGGGCTGTGTCTTCATGGTTCAACTCATCCTTTTTCCACTATCCACTACAGCAAGAAGTCATGGACCCCAAAGTTAATGAACAAAGCACATCTCAAAAACAAGCGTTGGTAGGTCTGAGTTCTGAAGGTTTGAACCAGCTCTCCCATGGAGAAGAATGTGGATTAAATGCCTTACTATCCGTTTGCTGTAGACCACAGTCAGTCACCAGAGATGGCTGTATAATTTTGTATGAGAGGAAGGGCTGTGGACAAACATTTGATATCTAATACTGTAATCACCTGCACAGTTAGGCACTCCTCCGCATGTAAAGAGGATGTAACTGGATCTGTAGAAAGAGAACCAGGTTTTCTGCCTTTTCTTTTTTGGTGTTTTGGTTTTTTTTTACTTTATACGAGACGAGTCCTTTCCTAGTAAGGGTATACTTAGGTTTTAATTAGAACAGGTAACAAAGAAATCTTGTTATTGGCTATGTTTGCTTTCAGAAGATCAGACGTGATGTTTTGAATTAACAACATGGGAATAACACTTACATTCGTCACAATAACTGCTTCCACAGCAGGGAAGAATAGCTGCATCAGTCATTATATCTTTACAAATGAGACATAACAGCTCATCCGGAATAGGACCATCAGAAGAGTAGGAGGATGGCTCCTCTGGTAAAAATGGAGGCCTTTCCCTCTTTCCTCTAGCATAAGCTTCCCTGGAGGGCATGTGGGGAAGGAAAAAGAACAAATTTAAAGATGGGTAAAGGAATGCTTTTCCGAGCTTTGCATTTTATCAAAAGAAGATACTGGATAGAATTCTTCTCACTCCACATTAGCCTTCTGAACTGTCGGCACTGAGCTGAAACTACTTTTCTATAGCCATAACTCTGTAAAATAAAAACTCGGAGGGGGAAATCTCAACCCAACAGCTATTGGTTACAGTTTTGTAAGAGGCTTTTGAAACATAAACCAGAAGCAAAATGAGCTCTCAAAGAGAACGAGTCCCCTGCCAACACTACCGAAATGTTTTGCAGAAATACAGATCCTTGGTGCACCACAACTTGAACCAGCTTCCAGGGGCATGACAAGTATGAATGACCACCCTCTTTTTAGAGGGGCAAGTGTCACAGGTCTTAAGGTTAAAAGGCAATGACTGCGCTTCCTCTCCCGTAATTACAGGTGCAGTCCAACTTGGTGGCATGGCTACTCAGATGTTTATGCATGCTTTCTCTCATTCGCCTTTTGGTCAGTCCAATTAAATCCATATTTACGCATTAATAACCGGTATTGCATATTTGCCAGTGTTTGTCAGCATTGCACCCTTCGTGTTGGGATCTTTCACCTCTATCATGAAACTACTTGGAATTCCTGTGCTCCTTTTCAGTCTGGGAACAGACTGGACATTTTTGTCCTGTTAGGAAAAGAAATGCAGACATACCTCATCTTAAGACCTACACTTAAAATGACAGTTCAGTGATGACTGTAAGAAGCAAAACCCTTTAAATCCTCTCCTTTTACCCAGCGTGAAGGTTGTTCAACTGAAATACTTCTTTTCCTAAATGAACATGGCCAGGATGTTCCTAAGTCAGCTATTGTTCCTAAGTCAGCTTCTCAGGGAAGTGGTGGAATCACTATCCCTGAAGTGTTCAAAAGAACACGTAGATGAAGCCCTTAGTGACATGGTTCATGATGGATTTGGCAGTCCTGAAGTATCAGTTGGACTTGATGCATCTCTTCCAACCTAGCTGGTTCTCTGATCCTGTGAAAGGCTTAAGCAGAGTTTTGATCCGAGTCGACATTCTTTGGCTCAGCAACAGGTTTCTTAAGGGTGAAATATCCCTTGCCTCATGATGCACTGGGAGAAGAGATACAAACCTGCTCCCCACCCCCCCACCGCCCCCAAAGCACAATTCAGAGGGAAAGCTTAAGTCAGGGCTCTGGGTCAGCCACTGGAGAAACATCTATTCACCAGCTATAGATGAAGCTTGAATTCATACCTCATGCGTATACACTCAGGGACTAATGTTAAAGGGCATGAATACTCAACCAGGGACTTGTGTCAGTAAAACACACAAATATTCAGTAGATGGGGTCAACAGAAACATCTTGGTTTCATACAAAATCCTGAAAACGTGAACTGTCATTAAAAAGAGTTAAACCAGAAACATTTCCAGTAATATTGAAATACATAAAAATATGCATGTAAACTCACAGACGAAAAGATCTATGGACTTATTTCAGGTCTGTGGCTTAGAAAAAAGAAAAAAATTACATTTATAATCCCAGCTTTCCCTTGAACTTTGAAGGGCTTTTCAGCATTGCCATGTAACCTCTGTATTTCACCTCAAGAGAAACAGTTCTCAATACGATTATTCCTGTATTTGGTACTTGACTGCCACGGTCAGAAATTAAACAAGGTCAGAAAGTAACACCAGAAGTCCCCAAAACCTTACCCCATTTCTTGGGCAGTCCTTTCTATAGTGGCCAGGTTTTCCACAGTGAAAGCAAATGTACGATGGTAGAGGTGTACCCAAGGGCTTCTTCCTGTGACTGAAAAGGTTTCAGGAAGAAAAAGGTATGCATGTGTCTCTACACAATTTTTCCCATAATCATCAAAGAACTGATTTGACATTATCAACGCTTGCTTGTCTGGATCATATTGATGCACAGACTGTATCATCATGGCTTTTATTTTATCTTCTTCGAAAGCATTGGCTTCAGCCAGGTTGGCAGTCTGTTTAACACGGAATTATTTGACACACACATTAGAAACACATGCAAGCTCACCCAGCCAAAGACAACACGGCTTGCTCAATCCTGTAAAGGGCACCACAATGCTAGCTGATGTTGCCTGAAAACAGATGCTTCTATAAAACACAGTTGTCCTGAGCGTGCGCTGGGGAGACTTTGTGCTTGTACAGGATGCTTATGTGCCCGCTAGCCTACTTGAAAAGAGCGTTCTTGGGCACTCAAAACCTTAGGCTTGACATAGACTTGTGTAACCGATCCACTTTTCTTCCAAGTGGACTGAAGTGATCAGTAAAAGAAATGACACTAGCAGTAGTTTTCAACTGGTTTTGAAGCTCCAGCCCATTTGAAGGAGAAGATAGCTACTGTGCATTTAATTGAGAAAGATTTCTGCAAGTTATAGTATTTACATTTTGCAGCACTGAAAAGAACACACAGTGTTAGTGGCAGGGCTGTAGTTTTTGCTTCCTGAAATTCAGCATCAGACACAAAAGTGCTGAAAGGAATCTTTCTGATCCCTCAGCAAGACACAAAGTTCTTTTCAGTAGAAATGTGACCATCGTGTCCTGTAGGCAATCCAAACTGCATTTCCTCCCCTACTAACTTCTTCCTACTAAGGGATTTAACTACAGAGAGCACAACCTGCAGGCTTTTCCTGGGGACTGTGTCCTTTTACTGGACATATTGTAATACCACCCACATGCAGAACTAGATCTTGAAGCCAGCTGATTTTTCTGGTGTTTTTATTACACGCTAGTCCATATACAAGAAAGGTCTAAGGGAGTGCCTGTAAATGATTCGGACCTGCAACCACCCATCTTTCAGATCAACCATGTATGTCTTCACTTCTACACGCATTCGTTCACAAGAGCAATCAACCAGTTTCTGCATTTTATTAAATGGCTTGTTCATATACACAGTTTTTTCTTACCAGTTATACGATCCAGAGGGACATCTATGAAATCATTTCCATTAACGTTTACAGGAAACTTTGCAGACATTTGACTAATTTGTTCGAACCCAAACAGTTTACAAAACATATCCAAACCCCACAAAACATTACTAGCAATAGACCAAAATTCAACTATGGCATTTATTGCACTGTAATAATAAAACAGAAACTAGTTCACAGCACACTGCCCCTGTGCTAAGCCAGCCTGAATAATGTGTTTCGAGTAAGTAACAGTTTTGAGCTGCTTTATGTGTTGTTCATGCATTTCTCAAAAGATTCAATGTGCACACCACTTGGACAGTTTTTCACATTTGAGAGTCAAACTTCACATGGGTTTACAGAACCAAGGACACACGCAGGGACAGCCGAAGGCCCCAGATTTCATTTCTTCAGTGAGAGAGGGAAGATGCTGCCAGTGGAAAGACCTCTCGTTCTTAGAAATGAACTCCTGCCTCTCTTCTTAGGAGAAAGAACTAGCTCCCATCTTTTCCATTTAATTGGCTAGCACTACGCTTTTTCACAAAGGGCAGTCATTAGTGTCCTGCCAAAGTTACACAGTGTCGAGCCAAAAGAGCAAGCAGTTCCATCCCAAAACAGGCCATTGCAACATTTTCAGCTGGTCACATCTGCTAATACACCGTAGATACACACTGGTACATTCCTCTAAACAACCAAGTACACAATTTACACAGTTGACACGGTCTGCACGCAAACAAATTTGATTGCGTTCTCCACTGTCCAGAGGCTGGAATTCACGGGACTGTGCAGTGTTCAAAGAATGCTTCTATGCCTCTAATGCCATTGCCCAAGTTCCAGAAACACTTCTACTTCAGCTGCTGCAAACTGCCCTGAAATGTCCATACCACACAAGCCAATTAAATTCTTTTGTAAAAATGCTGTTAGATTCCAACACAAACTTAATGAAACATAGGAAAAACAGTAAACAGCTTCTGAGGTACTGCTGCTTTATGTCCTGAAGATGAGTAACGCTGCAACATTACGTTGAGGCTGAGAAGGTACTCCCCTTCTGTCTTCCCAAACTGGCAAGTACTCTTTACAGCACAGTATCGAATTAGACGTACTTGTTAAACTAAATACTTTATTAAAAATTAAAGTTTTGTTCACATTACAACAGTTATCCATCTATAGACTGCAAGTGAGGCTTAAAAATATGAAGGAAACACTGAAGTATTTTACAACAATACATACATACACACCTTTAAAAGCTGGGCCAGAGAAACAGACGCAGAAGGCTCATCATTCATCTGTTCAGCAAAAAATAAACGCATATTCAAGTTCTATAATCAAAACATAGCAAGAGTTAACCTCTACTGCAGTCTGAAAATCTGCACTCTATCCTCTGCGTGTCACTGAAAGAGGCATTGCCAACCTACTGTAATTTGTATTTGTTCAGAATAAAGTCCAAACCTGTGACAGCTGAAAAGTGCCTGTGTGGCTAATGAGACGAAACTAAACTAACCAACTCGCTGGAGATGGACTTACTGCTCCAGAATACCTCAGAGAGGGGCCCTTGTGAAAAATGCTGAAGTTTATTTGAGAAGGAAGCATCACTACAGGAAACTTACTTGCAGTGTAGTTTGTAAATTAGTCAGATAATGTCTCATCATTTAAACATGCATTTATACAGTTATGATTTGACGAATAACTGCAAAGATGCCAAACTCACCATACCCCACCAAACCCAAACACCAATCTGAACCATCAGCCATAAAAGTAACCTGCCAATTTGTCTAGGAAAAAAAGAAACTGCTCAAATTACTGGGAAAAAAAAAAAAAAAGTTTACTATGACAGAGTAGCCTATAAAAATGGAGAAGAAATATTTCTTGTATTTTAATAGACCACAGGACACACTCTCCAAATCAGTTTGGGAAGCATGAGAATTTTTATTCTTCTTCTTTCTATCAGACCAAACCCAATCTTTCCTGACGATGAAAGCATGGATTCAAAGCACAGTCATGGCATTTTTTCCTCCATTGCAAACATACTCCTCCCTCCCAGCTGCCTACGCCTGTAGCTTGCCACAATGAAATCCTCAGGCCGCTGGTTAGGAATGGGCCGCAGTGTTTGCAGAGAACTACTGCTGAAGTGCAGTTTTTACAAAAAGCACAGAAAAGGCTGTACAAACTCACAACATTACTAACTACAGGCAGACAGATCTCGAATGTGGCACCAAGTTCAGTTGTGCACACCTGGAACCTGCGTGAACTAAAGATGATCAGGCACTATCTGCACAACACAAAGTCACACAGGACATATCCTAGCATATGCAATAGGAAATACCATGCATTACTAGCCATAAATCCCAACATTCACATCAGAACTCTGCAAATTGATGGCGTGACTCAGTTTTCACTATGATGAATCAGTGCATTTGAATTACACTCTGGACTGTGTTTTACTGGAAGATAGATGAAGTTAATGTTTGGAAAATTAATACAAGGCTACATTGTTTAGAATTCAGTGCAGTGCGTAGAAAAACGGGTGAGATCGGGTTTTTACATACTGCTTCTGATGTTCTGCTCGCTGGCTCAGTTCGACTTCTAGGAGGAGACAGAAAGGTGATCAGAACTTAAAATAAAGCACTTGTACCCAACAGAAAGCACCAAAAATCAATTATAAAACCCGAACATCAAAACATTATGTTCCCATAGCCTAGGGAATATGGAAATTTATTTGTGTACACAAACTCTTACCTCTTGGTCATTCAGTGCAACTAAAAAACCTCCAAAATCCCATTTCTACTTTGTCACAAAGTCAGACTTACAGATACAGAACACAACAGTGCAAGAGAAAGTCCTCAGATATTTTCTCTGCCACATCAGTATCAAATATATCAAGTCTCTAGTACAGCTTTGTGTTCTTAAATAATCAACCCTCAAACTATGAACGTAGCTTCAGGCAATCTGTACATCCCTAGTATTACAAACAGGTGTCACGTACAGTACTTTAGTTTCTATGGCAGAACAGTGATAGTCTTCAAAGGGCAAGTTTACTTCAGTGAAAAAAAATCAGTCATCTGACAAAGAAATAACAAAACTGTCAGCAGCTTAGTCTTTAGAAGAGTGTTTCTTTTGGAAGCCCAAGCACTGTGTTCAGGTATCTACCATGCTTAGCCATGAAAGTGCCAAAGTACTAGACATGTTACATACGCTTTATTGACTAAAAATAGGAATAGAAATGTCACCTGAAAGAAGCTGCTCCAGGGATTTTGTGTGACTGAGGAGCCCTGTGACCAAAAAAAAAGTCTTAATTGCACTGCACTGCAGAACTCTCTTCGCTACAAAAGCCATAAAAGTGAACACATATAACAAGGAATCTCTCCACGCAGACAAAACAGGATCTACAACTTGGTTCTCAGAAAAATTAACCCCAAGAACAAACCCTATAGAATCATTTTAAAAGTTTCCACTGTTGGAGTTTGAACCCCGTATCCCAGCAGGCCTAAAAACATAAGTCTGCTTTGGGACCGATACATGAAAATCTACTCAGTGACAACAAAAACTAATGGAAGCTTTAACAAGAAAGATACAATCTGAATGCCTCAAATGCATCACAACAGTTCACGCACTGAAACCAACAGCCAAGAATGCAATGCTGTGTGGACACTTACGGAACATCTGTTTTGCCGGTAGCTTTAACTCCTCCAGCAGGGATTCTTTTGACAATTACTGATGAGTTTTTAGGAATCAGGGCATCTTCTGTGTATTCTGAAACCAACAGAAGTACAGAAAAAGACATTCAAAAGGACATGTATTAATACATAATTAGCTACACAGCCCTTCAGAGAAGGCCTCTACAGATACAGAAGCCAAATTTCGTATGTAACATCGTGCCTTCATTGTCTGAACGCACTAACAGTACCTTTCAAGACATTTTCAGGTTTGATAACCAAACGCCAGCAGCTAAATCTTTCTCCTTTTTTAAAAACAGTTTGAATGCCAACATCAAAAGGATCTCAGAGGTCACTACAGGACAGCCTGCTAATACAGGCGGGGCTTTCCTGAACTAACTGAGGTTGCTTTTGCTTCTATTAGGCTACAAAACTGATAGATCTCTGGAGAAAAACAAACCACCACAAAGTCTCACCTGCATAAACCAGGTTCTAAAGTCTGACTAGCTTGCTCTGAAACAAGCCAGGCATTAGTAAAAGCATGAAAACTCAGATGCACTGCTTTCGCCACTGTTAACTGTGTCACTTCTGCTGTTTGTGCTCCAGAGTGAACAAATGCAAAAGAGAGCCTGTCACCTTTCTCTGTTTCTTGGAGCTTAATCCATCCAAAGCCACACTTCTCATCTGCTCAGTGCTTTACATTTGTTTGATCAAGTCTGACACTAAGATTAGATCCAGCCACACCTAGGCTCCATCAGGAGTTTAGAAAGCCAGGGGGTCCACTCTGAACTTTGTGTCTCAGTGGGAGGGCTTCCTTTTTTTCATCTTTGGTTTCCATGCCAATCATTTTAGCTGGATTCTACCTTGATTTTATTTTTTGACATTCCATTAGACATGAACCATTGACCAAGCCTGAGACTAAGGCTAGATCTAGCTTCACCTAGGCTCCCCTCAGGGGTTTAGAGCGCTCGGGGCTCTCTTCTGGACATTGTGACTCAGCCTGCACATTTGACAAACTGGTGTAGCCAGCAGGATGCTCAATCAGATTTCATGACTCCACCCCACTTAATCCCTGGCACTGCTTACCCTCTTGGTGCTCCTGCCACCTGGCAGGATGGGCCCCAGGCTCACTCGTGCTATGTGCAGATGAGCCATAAAAGGCAGAATGCGGCTTCTGCTGGCTGTGACCATCATGGGGTGCTCTGCAACGTCGCCAGCCAGGACATCCCCAAAGCCCTGCACATGCTGCGCACACGTACCTTCTTTGGTCTGGGCATTGCTGATCTGCAGATCACAGTTGGCTGCCTTCAGCTTCTCCTTGCGCATGATCTTGCACTTGAGGTCGCAAAGGGAGATGTCGAGGCCACTGAAGGTGACCGTATCATAGTTCAGCTTGGAGAAGAACTTGTAGTGAATGCAAGACATGGTCGGGGCCAGGCAGCGCCTGCTCCACTACCGTGTCTAGCTTGGCAAATGACAGGTAGAGGCCTTGCAGCCTCTGCCAAGGTGAGGGCACGCGGCAAAGCCCACCGAGGGGGCTGGGGTGAGCAGCACGGGCTGAGCTCGTGCTGGCCAATGGCGTTCAGAGGCTGCAGCACTCTGCCACAGCCAGGCCCTGACACATCAGGCAGCCTCGGCTGACAGAGCCTCAGGCCTCCATCGTGGCGTAGTGAGGCCCTGGCTTTGCCACCTTAACAGCTCCAGGCTATGGCCCTCAGCAAGTGAGCTGTGCTGTGTGTTGGCACCTGCCCCAGTCCTCCTCAAAGCCCAGGGGGGGAGAGTTCCCCAAAGCCCTAGCTGGCCTCAGTGTCCTCTCCCGCATGCAGCACTCCGAGGCCTGACCAACCCCTACGGCGACTCAAGCACCTCTGCCCCAGTTGCCACAACACAGCACACCCAGGCTACCCAGTGCACTGTGACAAAAGGCTCGTGTCGCAGAGGTCCAAGCACCCCCACCCAAGCAGGGGGACCCGTCACACCTGGGCCTGTCACCACCCTTAGCTGCACCTGTCCCTGCTGTCACCCCAGCCTGACCTCACACAGTGACCACCCTGTCATCCCCACGCTGTCACTACAGTGACCCTCCCGTCAACATCCAGCCAGGTTGAAACATCCTGGGCCGGATGCAGCCCCTCTGTGGTGCTCAGCTGTCCGTGCCACGGAGCCAGCAAAGGCAGGGGACATAACGAGGTGCTTGAGCACATCTTAAAGAATCACAGACTTCAGCGAAAGCAGCCAACAACCATTTATGTTTACTGCCATCAACCAATGGACTTCCCCAGTGTCACACACCCATAGTTGCTTGAACTCTGCAGGAAAGGACTAAAAAGTAACAAATGAACCACCAGCACTGGGAGAGGCCCAGGTCAGAATCAGTATCTCTTCTGATCCCCTCACTCTTAATTACATCTCAGTGAAACCCTTCCCTCACCTCGCAGCACAGAGAAGGTACGGCAGCAAGACCAGCTGCAGGGATGTCGTGGTCAAGAAAGAAGCAGATGGAGGACAACGCCACACAATTAGAGCTGCTTTGCAAAACAGGAGTATATGTGTGTGTTGAGTAGGCACTGGTCAAACCACTGAGCGCTTGAAAGGTGTAAGAACCATGTGTAAGAACCACAGCCTGTTTAGTCTAGAGAAGAGGCGACTGAGAAGGGACTGTCATCAATGCATATAAATATCTGAAAGGCAGGTGCCAAGAGGATGTTGCCAGACTCCTTTCAGTGCTACCCAGCGACAGGATGAGGAGCAATGGCCATAAACTAAAGCACAACAAGTTTCATCTCAACATGAGGAAGAACTTTCCAGTGAGGGTGTCAGAGCACTGGAACAGGGTGCCCAGGGGGGCTGTGGAGTCCTCCTCTCCGGAGACATTCCAAAACCACCCAGACACATTCCTGTGTAACTTGCTCTGGGTGGCCCTGCCTTGGCAAGGGGTTGGACTGGAAGATCTCCAGAGTTCGCTTCCAACCCTAACAATTCTGATTCTGTAAAACCACAATTGATGCCCCACAATTTGACTGGTACACCTCATGGCCATGAATAGAGAATTACTCTTGAAATTCTGTATTTTGTGTCCTAGCCTCTCTCCTTGGACAGCACATGCCTTTGGAAGAATTTTTAGACGCTACTCCTCTCCCCAGTCTGAAAGGTGTCCTCCAAGGCACTGCCCCTGTGGAGGCCCAGAAGCCTTCTGTTCATGGGGGGGAGACTTTACCTCCATCATCGCACTGTCCTCCCAGGAAATGATCACTCCGGAAGGACTCTCACTGAAAATGTAACTTGACTAGCACTGCTGTGTGATGTGGGTCAGGTTGGCTATGGGGACTGGGCAAGCCATTCTGTGATGAACTGGAGACAGTGGCAGAAAGTCCAGGGTACCCAGCTGCCAGTACTGGGGCTCAGCAGGCTGCAGGACACAAAGAAATTCCCAGCTGCTCACCAGTGCTGCTGACAGACATCAGGGTTTCTTGAGATGCCACTGCTGGTCAGAAGGCTACATGCAGCAAAACATCTGTCCGCGTGATGAGGTCTAAAGCAGAAAAACACAGTTACCAAAAGCATCCACATGCACAAGGGACCCCTCCAGCTTCTCCCCCCAAAAATCAACTGCATCCTTAGATGCATGATTTAAGCAGACAGAGGCTTCAGCAACAAGCCCAAGAACTTCTGACTTGTGCACCTGGCCACCTATTTTCAGTGCACGTTGCAAATGCTCTCAGGCAGCTCACTACCCTGATCCAGGTTTTAGAAAGCTGCACAACTACAAACCTCCTCCACTTACACCCTGAGCCACAGAAAAGCACACACAGCGCAAGGGGGATGCGCTAACACCCTGGTTAAGACATTCACTGCTCACTGGGCTGCTCCAGGTTGTTGCACTGGCATGAAAGGGCACATTGTACTGTGGGACAGGAAGGCAAGGGGCAAAAGGTTACACCAAACCCCTTAACCCAGCAATGCCACCACAGTCTCTGCATCATGCGGTGTCTTTTCTGAGATCTCAAAGAAGCAGCCGTGTCTAATATGCCTCCTGGGACAGGGTGCACAGAAAGCCTCTACCGGAGCAGAAAACAGGATCCTTACTGGGCTCTCAGCGAAAGTCCTCACATCCCCAGGCTGGTGGGATATCAGCAGCACATCCGCACCTTTGATGGTTGGGGTCCACTACAAAGATGGTTTCCATTCTGTCACATCCTCTGAGCTTTAACAGCTGGCAGAGCTGGTTCACCCAGGGTCTCGGTACCACCCAGGCACATCACCTGTAGTCCAGCAGTACAGCTGAAAAGACCCTGATGGCCTGCGTTAACACTCTGGCACGTAGATGGGATGTAAATACTGCCAAATCATCTCTCAGTTGCAGCAGAGTACCAAATTTAGCAAAATTAGCCTTACTTCTGATGAAGCTTTCCTTACAGACAGCTCATCTTCTTTGTTTATAAACTATAGTAAAGACCTGTTCTAGCATGAAGACTCCAACCCTGCCAGCAGTGAAGCAGCCGTTCAGACAAGCTGCACTATTTTTTCCCTCATTCCTCCTTCCTTCACAGAAATCAATCCCTACCAAAAGTGCCAAAAGCTCTGCACAAAGACTGCATAGAAAAGCCAACTGCAAGTGCCTTTACCTGCTACTATTTTATCAGGCAGCGTTCTAGGAAGAAACTAGCTTTTCCCGCTAGTTTTGCTACAGCTTCACTACCTTTGAAGACAATGCTTGTTACATTCACCAAGCCAAGGCAACCTCATAGCTCAGCAAAATCATGCTTCCTGTAAGAAACCTTCACCATAAGGTGAAGACAGGCACGCTATAGGAACAAGTTACTCTCAAGACACTCTTTCAGCCACTCTTCCCTTTGCTTACCAAAGCTCACGGAGCGTTAGAAAACAACAACGAAAAAGCAGGGCTCTCTCTCCCATTGACAGAGCCCATTACACCACGCATTCAGTCCAGCTCCAGTGTGAACCCCAGAATAAGAAACGCAGTCTTCAAGTTTCTGGAAAAAAAAGGAAGAGCTTTGAAGTGGCAAGACCAGAGAATGCTCATGAAAGCAGCACCAGCACCCAAGTACACATGCCTTATCACAGACCACCCACCCCATTACCGAAGTGAGTGATGCCGTCAGTTTACTTGCAGCTCAGGGTCTTATGATCATGAATTAGTGCCAGCAAAGTCAGCTGGAACTGGAGACAGAAAGGAAACCAGATGCAACTGGTCTGATTTCATTCAAGCTCAGGTAAGTTCAATTTCACATTGACTGCGATTCACAGCAGGTGCCAGGCAACAGCAGGACACAGATTCTCCAAGAAAAGCACAGGCAGCAGGACAGGTGAGAGAGAGGGAAAAAGGGACAGGGAGGCAGGACAAAGGCAAAGACAGGCAAAAATAAGAGATGGGGAGCAGGACAGAGTTGGAGGTTAAGAAAGCCAGGGCTGGGCAGCAGGGCAGAGAGAGATGGAAGGACAAACAACACACTGTGCTGCTGACTGAGAAATACCAGCGACAGAGAGCAGGACAGAGTAGTGGTGGTGGGGAACCCTAAGAAGAAGTATGACAGAAAAATGGGGGGGACAGGGCAAAGACAGGGAGCAGGAGGGAAACAGAGAGAAAATGAGAGGGACGGAGCAGGGCAGAGGCGGAGAAAGAGGGAAAGAAGAGAAAGGCAGCAGAACTAAAAGAAAGAGAGAAAAGAGCAGGGACAGAATGCAAGACAAAGTGATGGATCAGAAAACCCTGATGGGCTTCAAGCTCAAGATGAAGGAATGAAAAAAATAGGAAGAGAGAGCAGGCCAGAATGACAGAGAAAGAAGGAAGAGAGAGCAGGGCAGCACTGGAGGACAAAACCAATTGCTGGGCATCAGGACAAGAGAGGGGAAAGAAAAATTCCAGATCAAGAGTGAAAGAAGGCACAGCCAGCTGGACAGAGAGGCTTAGCAAGAAAGGATGGAACAGGGAATGGGATAGAGAGAAACACAGGAAAAAGGGAAATAAGGACATGAGAGGAAAAAAAGGGTAGGCATCTGCACAGAGATGGAGAAAGCAGCAGCACGGAAAGAGGAAGAGAGGCAAACAGAGGGAGAGGGAGCAGGGCAGAGAGAAGGAAGGACTATGGGATTGACAGAGATCACCAAAAGACGTGGTGGGTAGAGGAAAGGTGAGTAGGTGAAAAAGAAATAGGGGCAGGGAGAGCTTGCTAGCAACACCAAGCTGTGTGGTTCGGTCGATACGCTGGAGGGAAGGAATGCCATCCAGAGGGACCTTGACACGCCTGAGAGCTGGCCAATGCCAGCCTCACGAAGTTCAACCAAGCCAAATGCAAGCTCCTACACCTGGGTCGGAGCAATCCCAGGCACAGCTACAGGCTGGGCAGAGAAGAGATTCAGAGCAGCCCTGAGGAGAAGGACTTGGGGGTGTTGCTTGATGAGAAACAGAACATAAGCTGGCTTCAGCGTGTGCTTGCAGCCCAGAAAGCAACCGTATCCTGGGCTGCATCAAAAGGAGCGTGACCAGCAGGTCAGAGGAGGTGATCCTGCCCCTTTATTCTGCTCTTCTGAGACGCCACTTGCAGCACTGTGTGCAGTTCTGGTGTCCTCAACATAAGAAGGACATGGAGCTGTTGGAACAAGTCCAGAGGAGGCCACAAGGATGATCAGGGGCTGGAGCACCTCCCCTATGGAGAAACGCTGAGAACATTGGGGCTGTTCAGCCTGGAGAAGAGAAGGCTGCAGG